TGTGTGTGTGTGTGTGTGTATGTTGGGCAAATATTTACGCATTAGGCGACAACGCGCTCCTGCAGTTGACACAACGTAGACCCTATCTCAACCCAGAATGTGATTTTTGCTATTACCTAAATCATAAAAAATTGAGGTATACAGTTTATAACACGCGCTCAGCAATGTCGGCAGGATGCGGATATAATTTACACATTTTGTACAGATTGTAGGCGATACCAAAGGAGAAAACTCAAGTTATACTATAGGGACAAAATTTTACATGAATTATGCCCCTTATGCTGAGCGCATTTAGCTCGTTGATCCTTTTTGATAAAAAAAGGTCATGACACTCTGAGACAGGCCGACGTACCATCGCTTCGGCCGATTTAGTATCGTTAAAATATCAATGTATAGGCCTATTGATGAATTGATGGGTGGGTGTGTAAGTGTGCGAGAGAGAGAGAGAGAGAGAGAGAGAGAGAGAGAGAGAGAGAGAGAGAGAGAGAGAGAGAGAGACGTAAGTGTGTGTTTGTTTGTGTTAGTGTTTGTTTGTGTGTGTATGTAGGTGTGTGTGTGTGTGTGTGTGTGTGTGTGTGTGTGTGTGTGTGTGTGTGTGTGTGTGTGTGTGTGTGTGTGTGTTTGTTTGTGTACGTGTGCGTGTGTGTGTGTGTGTGTTTGTGTAGTAGTAGTAGTAGTAATAATAAAAATAATAATAAAGATAGATAGATATATAGCATTTGTGTTGCACAAATTCCCGCTCAACAGCAATTAAGCTCTAGAGATCTATGCGCTTTATAATATAAATAATCTATATTACCCCAGTAGACCTGATAGCATTCTGAAACACAGTGCAAGCTGCCATTTTATAGTCGCTAAAACACTAACACACTGACAAGATCGTTCGCTATCTATAGCAGGGTACCCATTCCCAAGTGGGTGAAATGAGGAAAATTGGTGTAAAGTGCCTTTCCTGGGAAAAGGGGGGGGGGGGTGATCTTGCGCAACATCCGGTTGCCTATCCTTTAGATCAACGACACCACTCGTCCTTACATTCAAATACCATTAACCTAAACTGTGGCGGAACAAACAGCTTTGTTCCCCAGCTTTGATAAATCTCAAAGCGTTTAGGCCTACCTAAATTAATGCACGCAGTAGGCCCTACCATATCTAGAATCTAGATCTAGATTTAGATCTAAATCTAGATCTAGATCTAGTTAAAAAGAAAATTAACACAGAACAAAGGATTCAATTCCTTAAAGCAATTATAATTTTTAAGCAGCCAATGATAATCTAGCCTATGGACAAGACAAACGGCAAGGGATTAAAACCAGAAAACAAAACCAAATTACCTTAAAAAACAACAACTTACCTTCAATAGTTTCAAAGCAGCACAGTCCAATGATAATTATGTTGAGACAAAATCCCCAGCTGATAGACTTGAATGAACAGGTTTAGCAAAGAAACCACTGACTGGCCTCGGTCTCAGCCACAGAGAATCGCATCACTGATGTCAGGAAAATCGTGAGCGATGGCCTTTGCTTGCATCAGGTTCTAATTCTGAGAAAAGCTAGGTCTGCACCAGAAATATAAAATAGCCTCTCGTAAATGCAGTGTGCGGCGTGCGCAGCAGCCTACACATAACATAAAATGCAGTTTAGAATAGAGATAGCCTAGTTTGTAGTGATGGGCAGGTATCGATACTAGATACTCGATACTTAGATACCTACAATGATAATACATAACAAGATGGGCCACTCAGCCAAAAAAGTGTCCGCAGGAAGTATGCTCTTTGCTTCAGATGGCGCTGCAGTTTGTTTTGAAGCTCTCTTTCGTTTTTCCAGAAGAAGAATAGGAATAGCACCTCCTTGCGTGCGCAGATCGACTGCTGTTCATCAGCAGTTCGGGTACGTTCAGTGCG